TTTAGTGAAAAGATGGCACCTCAGTTAACACTTTGACTGAAATTTGCAAGCATATTCAAGAGTACACCTGAGGAAGTCAACTAATAGTTTTGCAAAGATGGATGTTCTGCTGGGAAGAAGTGGGGAGCTTTAGGAAGAAGAGCTGTGTGGGAGTGAAGTGATATGTGGGTGGAAAAGGAAAGCTGGGCGTGAAGAGAACTGTGTGTCTGAGGTTTGGGTAACTCATGTTGGGAAGGAAGGCTTCATATGAAGCCCAGGAGACTCTCAGAGGCAAGAGTCTTACATGTGGAAGAGAGGCATCTTGGGCAGAGTAGAAGGGTAAGGAGGTTCCCGGACTCAGGAGCCATTTGTCACTTGCCTCATGCTCTACCACACTGTTCCCACCAACAGGCTGTTCTGCATTTTCTAACTCTTTTTCCACTTTGACCACCCCTCCGTCTTCCTCTGATGTATGGGAAGAGACTTCATCTTGTGTGGTCTCCTCTTCATCACCCTCACTGTCACCTGGAACACACAAACTGGTCACTTGTTCTGATTTTTGCATGAATACATCTTATGTTGCTTTCCACCCTAAAGTTTGCAGCTAAAATGGAAAAAATTCTCAGATCTTCCATAATACAGTTTGTATCAGTGCTTATTTGGGTACAAATCACATTAAGTGGAAGCCAGCTATAATTGTTTATATTGCCATATACACACTAAAGAGAAAATCGGAGGCAAAACTGTATTGGAAAATGGTTATTAGGTCCTGTATATTATCATAAAAATGATAACTTCTTACACAGGGTTCCCAAATATCTCACACTTTCAAATCACACCTCCTATGCACCTCACACCATGCTCATTCCAACACACCACTTCTGACTTACCAATGCTTATCACTGATTTTATTACTTACTTTTCTCCATAACCTCCCTGCACAATTTCTCCATGGTGTCACATACACTATTCTATTCTGAGACCCACTAATCTGTTCTCTCCCAACAAACCCCAAGGCATGATTACAGAAACACCAACAAGTTTTTCTTTCCTCTTATCAATAAAGGAGGCAGTAGGAAATTTGGTAAAAATGTCACTTTATAGGGAAAAAGCTCAGTACAGTGGAAAAGTTAGCACAGCAACCAGCCTCGGGCATTCTGTCGTGGTATTTGACTCACAGTGTTCTTACCCTGCTAGTAACTCAGCATTCTACGTTAAATAAGTCCATTGTTTCTGTTGGTTCTTTGGATTATCTAATGGATTATTGAATGCATCAAGTGGAGGGAACAGGACATTCTTTACTTTAGGATGAAATATAATTCCTCGTGGCTAAAGTAAGAATTGATTTGTTTTAGTTCAGGGTGCAAGATGTGGCCGTGCAGAGGTCTGCCTGTGGCTAGGGGATCTGCAAGGTTTGTGTGTACTGATTTCTTTCCTCTATTACTTATAAAATTGGAAAAGAAGTGATTTTTAAAAAACACAATAACATAGGGAGTTCTTTCTGAAAAGAAAAAAAGTGCTAGTACTTTGAAGATCACAAGAGGAAGCCAAACCTAGGGAAGCTGTCAGACTCCAGTCCCATCCTAACACCACCTAGATCCTGGACTCCTGGGCCTGACAGTCAGCAAGAGAAATACAGGATAGAGTTTCACCAGGCTCTCAGCATCAGCAGTGAGACTCAGCTTTCCTAGCTAACAGTGTGCTTCTTATCTTCTCTCTACTATCTCTTACATAATTTCTAAATCTACCAAGAACTGGGCAAAACTGGTTACATTCCCTTTCTTCAAAAGAAAATCTAACCAAATCATCTGCTAGTAGATACATGTGTCTCTGTTAGATACTTCACTTGGTTGGTGGACTGGATTTGGGCCCTGGAAAGATCTACAGTATGCCTTATTCCTTGGTCCAAAGCTTTAGTGTGAATCCATCTCAGCAATAAGGGTTGGCACAGATTAAATCATACTATATTTTCTCACCAGCTTATTTGGAATACTTGTAGTCTGAGACAACACTGTATCAAACACTTTTTGTAATTCATCAAAAATCCAAATATCTCTACTAGAAAGATTAAAAAAAGAATAAGTATGCCATGCAGAGGGATGATGCAACTTTTCCAGAATGGAAACCTATCAGACTTCTATAGATATTGCCATTCCTACCTATTACTCAAACTGGTGGCTCCCACAGATTTTCTAGAAATATTTGGTTCACTTTTCTGTACCTGAGCAATTACTTGCTAATTATTTTTATTGCTAGAGTATTAGTTTAAATAGAAAATGTAGTTCCTGGAAGGTACAGAACTCTCTGCCTCTTCTTTCTTTTACAACCCCGAACATGGAGAAAAATCAGAAATGTCAATATGAATTGACACTAATAATAACCAATATCAGATGGGTCAGATGTGGAAATCATCCTAGGAAATAACACATCTCAAAGTGTATTTGTTCAAGCAAGTCACAGAACAGACAATCCATGAGGCTCAACCAGTTACCAGACACTGTCTTTTCAATCTCTTAACCAAAGGGATCTACTCAGGACTTGGTGTGGGAAGACCTCGACATTAGCATTTTACATGCTGCATAATCTCACTGGTAAGCAAGTCCTCTTATAAAACATTAAAACTGCGTCCTCAAGCAAAACTTTCATTAATACCACTCTTACATTTTATTAATTATGAATAAACAGATCCTAGGAGACAGAGATTTTTTTCTTTTCATTTGACCTAGCCCAGGGGCTGCTTGAGCACTCATTATTCCTATGCCCCTGTCTATCACAGTCATCACAAATCTATCTGTGTATGGCACTATGCCAAGTACTGCAGTCCTTGAGTTAAAAAAACCTATTCTCTCTCTGGACAAACATATGCCCATACACCTTAGAACACCTTTGGGAACACTGAGGATCCACAAATCTCCTTCTTCATGTCTTCCTCCCAACCCCCATGCATAATCCCCAGAGCACACACACTCTGATAATTCTTCTCCCATTGCCCTGAGTCATTACCAGAAGGTGCAGAACTCACTGCTACTGGAGTCCTGATCTCTTAGTTGTTGGATTGCTTGTCGCTGACTGCCAAGGTCTCCAGGAAAATCAGTTTTCATCATCGCCTGGCGGGCTTGCTCTTCTAGCCCAGCAAATACTTGATCCCCTGGTGGTCACAAGGAAAAATAGTCAGGCCACCAGCTGGGCAGTACATCCCCAGGCAAGCTGGTTGGAAAGTCAGACCATTCAAAGGTAGGAGACAGGCGGGTACCCTGTGGTGGGGTCATTCATCTCCAAGTCAGCTTGTTGCCTCCAGTGGTTTCCGGGCACAGCTACTCTTCTTGGGCAACAAGCCAGATGCTCTAGAAAGCATCATTTGCTTCTCTTAAATCCTCCTAATATTGACTCCTTTTAAAGGTGATCAATTGCTACTTTACCAATTTAACATCAAAATCTCAATTCTATTTATAACCTTCCATCAGGACTGGGGAGAGAGAGGCAAGTGGCAAAGTGATGGAATGAAGATTGGGCAAAATATCTGGGCACAATCTCTGAATCTCAATGTATTAGCAATATGGTCCTGATTCTGTCTGCCTCTGACTATAAACAAGTGCTTCAAATAATCCATCTGAAACAGTATCTATGACCCCATCTTTCATCCATTCTCCTTACAAGACATACTCTAGAAGTTCTTCCTTTACTCTCTCACATCTATTAGAATTAGCCACGAGCAAATAAAAAATAATGGATTAAAAGGAAAACAGATAATATATGAACTCATTTCTGCTGAGGAACAAACTTCCTGAAACATGCCAACCAATTTGCAACAGGTAATATTTCATCTAGTCTCCTTGGTTTAGTGTGGTCTTTTTTTTTTTTTCTTTGTATGCAGTATCCAAAAGCCCCGGACCCATCCTTGATTACGCATTTACTGTGAGGAACTCTGCCTGGGATCTGTGTGGTTACTGAAGAGTTAACATTTAAGTGCTCTTTTATTTCCAAGAGGCCAGGCATAAGGAGAAAAGAGAATTGGGTTTCTTGAGGTTTCCATTATCTCAGTCAGAGTGGAAACTACAGTCCCCATTCTCCAGCCACCAAGAGAGAATAATAAAAAGCCCTAGTGAAATGTCTGACAATAGACCAGGCGCTTTCTTAATGAAGAGAGAGAGGAAATTAAACAGGCTCAGGTTCTGAGGCTGATACAACGACGTAGGAATGAACTGGTCAGTTGACCTGTACAACTAGTCCTTGGGCAATGAAAGAACTGATGTGAAGTAGGCTTTATATGATTAATTTAGGTATTTGTTCAGCAAATATTCATTGAACATCTACTATATGCTAAGTGCCAAATGCTAATAATAGTGATTATTTGGCACTTCCTAGTTCCAGGCTCTACGTTAAGTGCATTATAGTTGCTACCTCACCTTAATTCTCTGCAAAACTCTATGTGGTAGGTATTACTATCCATATTTTACTTAGGAGAAAACTAAGGTCTATGGTGGAACTAAGTATTCAGACCCCAGTCTGTCCAACCCTTAATTACCATATTTTTCAGTTGCTTTCTAGCAGAGCTGTAAACAGAATTTTAAGCGGTTCATTAGAGCAATTTTACTGAAAACAAACGGTTGTCTCTGTGTGACAAGAATAGCTCTGATCCTAGTGTGTTACCTTCCTACCATCAGAAACTAATATATACAACTCAAATACCAAAATAATGTTCTCAAGGCCAAGACTGACGGAAGGAACCATCATTTTTATGGTTCTGATTCCATGTGATGAGTTACCATGCCTGGGTTAGAGTAATATTATGGCTATTCTGACACTATGAGTGGGAATAGAGGTGCTCATAGAAGTCCAAGTGTACTTCTAGCCACACAGCCCTCAAGTAAACGAAAAATAACCTGCTTTAAGTCCACTTTCATAATATTCAGGATGACACACTGGATATAAATTACCGCTAGGGAGAGCAAGAAATGAATTCTGTGTTATAGCGCCTCCTCTTCCCTCTTTGCAGGAGTAAAATATTTAATTTCTCCACGTTGGTTCCTCTGTAACCACAAGACCATGGCTAACTGGAAGAGTTACCGAATTCTTCTGGGTAAATGCATGTTTTTGGACCTGGTGGCTGTGGGCAGATATGACACTAAGGAGCAAGTTATGTACCAGCATATAATCAAGGGCAGACCATTCTCATCAATGACATCTCTAAAGAAACCTATCCAGAAACCAGCTAGGTTTATAACATACTAGGAATCTACACTTCCCCCCCTTTCTTTTTTTTTTTTTTAATTTATTTATTTTATTTTTGGCTGTGTTGGGTCTTCGTTGCTGTGCGCGGGCTTTCTCTAGTTGTGGCGAGGGGGGGGCTACTCTTCGTAGCGGTGCACGTGCTTCTCATTGTGGTGGCTTCTCTTGTTGTGGAGCATGGGCTCTAGGTGCACAGGCTTCAGTAGTTGTGGCTCGCGGGTTCTACAGCGCAGGCTCAGTAGTTGTGGCACTCGGGTTTCAGTAGTTGTGGTGCACGGGCTTAGTTTGCTCTGCGGCAGGTGGGATCTTCCTGGACCAGGGATCAAACCCGTGTCCCCTGCACTGGCAGGTGGATTCTTAACCACTGTGCCACCAGGGAAGTCCCCCCGCCCTTTCTTAATGGGTAATCACCACTGTATTAGAAGGACTTCTATAAAGATATGTAATTTTCAAGATCAGCTAGTAATTCAGTCTAGTCTCCATCAAACTTGAGCTAAAAATTTATTCCTATTGAAGCTGTCTAAATATTTCAGCCTTCACAGAACAGAGAAGAGTCTGTTCAATACAGCTGCCCTATCTAGGACTTTTGGGAGCATTCTCACCTAGGATAGTTGGGCTATTCCTTTTTTGGCAGTTTGGGAAGAAAAGCTATGCTCTTCTATTTTATTCCATTCCTGACTTGGGAAAAAGGCTAAGGTAAACTTTACTCCTTAGGGCTATTCTTATTTAAATACCAACATAAAGCAAAATATATAAAAACCATAAAGAAGGATTCTGGCAGACCTCACAGAAAAAGATATGTGATGAACTCCCAGTAGTCATTATTTACCTAATCCCTAAATCTTACTGTCCAGAATTATCCTTTCATAAGAAGGTAGTGATAATTGCTAAAAGTATGTCATATTAACTCAAGTATAATGTGATCCATAGAGATACTAGTGATTAAGAAGTGTTATACAGTTGCCTGCTTTTACAATGTAGCATTATTATTTCCTTCTATCTTGAGACTGTTGGAGTAGGTTAAAAAAAAATCCTCTGGCTTCTAGATATTAATGTAGGGCAACCATCTTCTTTAACATGGGTATTTGTCTATTAATAGTTGAGAAAAAGTCATCTAAGTTCAACAGTAAAAAGCAAGGTACTACCTCTCCTTTTTGTGGTATGAAATCAAGATACTGTTGGTCTGATTTGGCTAAGGTTTTTTAGACCAGCTAAGAACAAAGCCATGGAAACAAGCCTTTAGAACAGATGAGAAGCCTGAGATGAAAGTTACTGGAAGACAAAGATTTTACAATTCTCTTTCTTGAGTCTTTGGTGCAGTTAAATAAATGCAATGTCTGGCTGACTTAAATTAAGTAAAGCAGCTGAGACATATTCTAATAGAGCAGATGCCAAATTCAGAATAAAATGAGCTAGTACTGGGAGTGAGGCACTTAGGATTCCTTTTCTAGCTGACAGTCTCCGTAATCTGAGGTGCTATCACATATTGGGAACAGAACCATTTACCTCACAAGGATGCTAACAATGAATGAAGACAAAACAAATTGCACTTTTTAGAAGAGAAGGGACTTTAAAGGCTTCTTTTTCCTACTTCTCTGTAAAAGCTGAAAACTTTAATTGAAGTTGAAAGTTTTTAGTCTCATATATAATCTGAAAACAAAAGTCTCTTAAGAAACGGAAGTTTTCCTTTACTTAGTGGTTTGCTTGGTACAAAAGCACCAAATGAAAGTGTGCAAAGGATTGTATTTTCAACCTCTCTAGAAACAGTTACAGAAATTTTTATTCAGAAGGGGGTGAGATGAGGAAGAAGGGAGGGAAGAGGTCTACAGAGATTTCAACCCATATGCAGTTCCTCTGTGACTAACAACAATTCTGGACTTTTATTCCAAAAGCTCTGCATCAAGTCTATTAAGGAACTGTGCAAAACAGAAGAATCTGCCTGGACGTTTCTGGGTAAAGGAGAGATCATGACGGTAATTTAGATACAGAGACAATCCTGAGGAAAGCCAAGTATATGCCAGAGCAGCCTGCCCATTGACTTCTAAAGTGGATCTGACAGATGCTGCCAGGCTACAGCAATGGGATTCTTAATATATTCTTTTAGGAGCTGCCTGCTACACAATCCTCTTGTTCCCAGAAGGCAGATCTAATGGAGCTCAGCCATTACTCTGCTCAAATGCCATTGGCTTTGACATTTAAGCAAAGCTTCTGCAGACCTTCCTACCTCCCAGACCTTGAGTTCACTCTGTTTACTTTAAATAGATGAGCAGCATTAAATTCAATACATTTGATTGGTTCTATTTCACTGCAAGGGGTTAGGAGATGCACGTGGTCAGAAGACTGAAATTACCTATTTCTACTTGGCATTATTGTGGGCAATGAGAAGATGACCTTTCAAAAAATGTAGGACCAGCTTTAGTCCCCAAATAGTAAATAAGTAGAAGGTCCTCAGAGACCAGCAAATCACAGTGTCTTTCTTCTTTCTTAGTCCATCATGTGAGATGCCTTCACAATTGCCTGCCCAAATGCATCACTGCAAACAGCCCCTCCCTGCGGGTCTGCTTTTTAGTTGCACCGAACATTTCCGTTCACGGTCCTCTTAATGGTCACCACTGCAAAGTCCCACCCACTCCACCACAATACTACAAGCTTCACTAGCTCAACTCTAGAAACTGCATTTCTGCAGCTGCGGATATGATATTCCCTCCTTCTCTGTGGTCTGTTTGTCCATCTGTTTTCCAACTCCAGTACCAGCTCATCTTGGCTTTGACTGATTATGGTGGGAGGAGATGCAGCTATCGACTTATGCTATGTGGGCGCAGGCACTGGCCACACAAGCATTTACTGGCTTCCCTGTACTTGATCATACTATCATCCCCACCGGCTACTTTCCTCAGTCTCTTTGGACAGGTGGCTTTTAGAGGTAAATGCCCAACTCCAGTGATTGCCTTATTTGTGAACCCATCACTCTACTAAGAGTTCCTTTCCTGCCCTGCCTTCTTGGGGTCACATCTGTGTCTTTTCTCGATATCCACCTTCAACCAGAGAGGAGAAGGCAATCCTTCTGAACCTCTGTGTTGTATTACCTATGGTAGAGATACTTCATTTTATCTCTCTTGAAAATCCTCACATTCAGGCCCACTAAATTTCACTGTTTTAGCAGCAGTTTCTAAATCCTTCCTGAACCACTCACCTTTATATTAGGCAGCCTTCATATCCACCTACTCCAGAATACACTCCTAGAAGTATCCAACTTGCGCTGTCTTATAAAACTTTTCTAGGACTTGAAGAATTAATTGTATATGAATGTTTGCTACCCTAATCTCATTTAATCTATAAAATGCTGAAGTCCTCTTAATTCCTCTGAACCTACTGTTTTCTCTGCTACTCTTGAAATTACCCAATAAAATAAAATAAGGTACATACTGTCTGGCATACGGTATGTTTTTAATAAATTTTAGTCCTCTTATATTAACACCATGACTGATCTATCCTCTCAAATGTAGGTTTTTTTCCCTTAAAAAAAAACAAAAAACTTTCATATGTTATACCACTGAATTCCCTTCAAATGTTGCTGTACTTTAGTCAGTCCTCCATAAGAACACAGAGCTATTTGTCTCTTTTACATTTGAATGAGGATGCTTATCTCCCCAGATCATAGGAAACTGGTTAATTGTCTCAAATCTACATAGATATTTTAGTGTTAATTTAATAAGGCACTTTTGAAAACCCACTATGAGCAGTGCTAGAAGGAGAGAGGGATAGCAGGAATTATATATGGGACATAGTGTCTGCCCTCCAGAAGTTTACAATCCAATTACTAAAATAAAACATATATATGAACCTGCTGAGAAATAATGCAAGGCAATAGTGCATAGCTGGTTCTTGTTACCAGTCTCTTCTTCATGTGATCCATCCCACACACTATTTTGTAGTCCCAAAACACTGTATTCTGAATGTCACTCCATTCTCCCCGCTTAAAAACCTTCAGTAGCTCCTTACAGTCAGGATGAAGCGTGAACTTGGCCTGGCCTTCGGGCCTCTACAATGCAGAGTTAAACGTCTCCAACGTCATGTTCTATGGCTTCTGGACAAATGCAACTTCTGCTTCATACAAAGTCTCCTTGTCCCCTGAGCATACCACGTGCATTCCCTCTTTGTTTCTTTGCTTTCCCCTACCTGATTTTACCTCTCCTTTCCTCTTTTTTTAAAGAATCCACTTTCTACCTTCCAAGGTCCAGTTCAAGTTCATAGTCTAAGGCCTCTTCCATCAAGCATTCCCTGGCTATCTCAGTCCATGGAGCTCTCTCCCTCCTCTTTTTTTTTTTTTTTTTTTTG